ACACTTTATCTTCAGATAATTGCAAAAAGCACCCCCTGGATTCTAGGCCAATTACAATTAAAGTCCAATTTTAGACCTCAATGCTACATTTACTCATGAAGTCTTGATACTTTTTGAACTAAGAGCACCCCATGGTTAGACAATCCTACTTTTTCAACGGATCTTACTTTTACATACTTTAATGGTCTAAAAGACAAAATAAATAAAAATACGACATTTCATAAAATATGTATGTATTTTATTTTGAAAGGTATGACGGGTCAACCGGCGTAAAAGTTCGGCGAGCCGCCTCACTCAGTAATTTGATAACTGAAAACTCTTAAAATTCTACCTTTTTCATCTCTACAAGTTCCACTATATAAGATGACATTGGATTAATACCATTATGACTTGGGAGACAAAGAACAATAGACAAAAGATAGTTTTTTTTTTTTCTTTTCTCTTGTCTAATTAGATTAAATCTTATGTTTTTTTTCTATTAATTAATTAACTAGACAAAAGACAATTTTTTTCTCTTGTCTAATTAGGTTAAATCTTATGTTTTTTTTAATTAATTAATTAACTATTTCATTCACACATTATGATGCCCAAGACCTTTGAACATCTTCATGAGAGAACCATGAAAATAACATAGCATCAATTTATTAGTTAGGAAGACCCATCAGAAGAGAAGACTGTAAATACTTTTATTTGAACACACATTGATACACTCCATGCAAACATAGATAGAATACCATATAGCTCACTGTTACACACACAACATAAAATGACTTCAAAATGAAGCTTTCACCCAGAAAGAAGACAATTCATTTCGACTGTGACTTCGCTTTCCTCTTCTCCATGTAGAAAAACCCGAACAACGAAATCACCGAGAAAGCCGAGAAGCAAGCCGAGGCAACATCTAGCGACACGTGGCGGCCGCTGATTGCCTGGACATCGAACAAGTTCGTTGTTTTCTGGGCATTTGTGGTCTGACCGTAGGCAGCCTCTGTGCCGTGGGAGTCGAGCGCGTAAGCCCTGATGAAGTATGTGGCGCTCGGGACATCTTTCTTAACTGTGTAAGTGAAGTTGTTGTTCGAACGGGTGTAAGGCCGGGAGACTATCTCGTGCTGACATGTCTTGTCCTTGTTGAGTTGATCCACTGTTTTGCGCCACCCGCGGTCCCTCTGGCTAATTGGTGCGTAGCACAACATGATCTTCACTGTCCTGTAGTTGGAATCCGTGCCGGCCGGGAAGCTCGTGTTGTACGACCATGATACGGTGATTGTGTCCTCCCCGGCTTGCAGAACTGGAAAAATAGAATAAAATAAAAATAAGACATGTGATTTATGGTGTGATTCGATATGAATCATAACTAGTTTTAAATCGATTTTGACTGGTTATTCTGTAACCAATCACTAGGCTGTAAACAGTCGAGCTCGACTCATTAAATAAACGAATCTGAAATCGAGCTCGAGCTCGGCTAGTTTATCAGCCTTAACGAGCCGAACTATAAAAAAATATATAAAAATTCTCTTTTCGAGCCTTAAATGAGCACGAGCTCGGCTCGTTTATTAAACGAATCGAACCGAACTTGAGCCTTAACGAGCTGAACCGAGCCCGACATGTTTAATTTAACCGCACTACCAATCACCACAATTAAAATTAACCTCAACCCAACTCTCATACTTTCTAATAAATATAACAACCAAATTGGATCATAATCGGTTGGATTCATATTCAATCACGCCTGCCCTTAGGATTGGGGTCTGAGAAGAAAAGTGATGATTTGCAGAAACTGCCCCTGAGGTTTGGTGTAATTAAGGTATACTTGAGGGGTGCTTTTGCAAATATCCTGAGGTTCTCAAGTTTTAAGGTGGGAAGTTAAGCATTTGTTACCTTGGCCGGCTTGAGGTGTTGCAGTGACTATGAGAGCTCGGTTCAGCGAAGAGAACATAATAACCGTGCCACAGCAAGTCGCCGCAAAGCACGAAAGCAAGATTAATCCGGTAAGCCAACTGTGATTAGCCATTAAATTTGTTGGCTAATTTTCTTCCTCTCTGTTTTATGGTATTCAAAGATTTCTC